ACACACAGTGAAGTATAACTATCCTCACATGGTTTTAACTACAGTTGAATGACTTAATTCTAGAGATAGAAATAAAGATTCATCTGGTAATATTCACATGCAGACCCTGCTATAGCTACATTATGGTTAGCTTTAGAGGCAGAAACTGTCAGATGTTCCATATAAATAAATAGTAGGGAGAAAACAAGGATTTTTTTCTAATTCTGGAGATTATAATATTACTAATTATACTACTGTGCTACTGGTGTAACGTGAGAGGATGTCGGTTGTGACGTGGAAAATTATCCACTTAAACATGTACTTGTTGCTGCTAATAACTTGTCTTTGTTTCTTAATGCAACAGGAGCAGGTAGAACAATTAAATACGGTCCCTCTAGGTGGCAGCAGATGACTATAAAAACTAAAAACACAGAGCAGAGCTGTTGAACATCTTCGAACGTCTTTAAATTCGGCACCCACAACCCCCACCCACCATAACCCCCCGAAAAAAAAAGTTCTGATAATGTGTGTTTCATGATATATGAAATTCATATATGTATATATACTGTATATATATAAAATATATATGTATACATGTATATAATATATACATATATTTATATATATATATATAGTGTATAGTATATATAGTATATATAGTGTGCAATGTTTTAACCTGCATAAATAATAATCAATACACAGAGGATTATTTACAGTATCACGGTTACAACTTGACCCATTGAGAACAACAGAGCTTACTTTTTGTACTTTAACACCTGTAAATTTGGGATTTGTTCTGGCTGGTGTTTAATATCACCTACCACCATTCATCAAGTGATTTTACTCATCATAAAATGATCTTTATTGTTAAGAATGTGCTGAGAACACATGATCATTTTTAGGTTTTTTAACTTCCTCTGTTTTCAATAAAAAGCCTTTCAGCTGAAACTTGGACACACTCCTGTTTTCCAGACAGAAAAACAGTAAATTAAGGTGACAGCATGTTAGCTAAAGACTGAGAAAACAAACCCAACAACCGTCATACAGAGAACGTCTGACTGTGTTAAAAGAGGCCACTCATTCTGAGAAGAGGGGCACATAGTAACACGCAACACACACACACATGGAGATGTGGCTGGGCGTTAGGCCAGATGCACAGAGAGAAGGAAACTTACATTCTTGTGATGGAGAGTCATGAAGTATTAGGTTCCATACTCAGAAGCTGGAGCAAGAAAGAGTGAGAGAGAGAGAGACGGTGGGCGGGGGTCTGCGGTGGTGGGGGGCACTGTATGAAAATATAGTTTTTCTACACTCACTGCTGCCTTTTCTAAAATCTATTGAACAACCTGAATCACTGACAGATTAACTGGAAAGGTCATATCAACACCCCAGGAGGTCCCTAATCTAGCAGTTTAACTTGAAACAGAGTTGGGTATCAGGGTTAGATATAAAAAAGAGCATCTACCAAAGGGTTTCGCTCTAAACACACATCTAAGCAATGTTTCGCAGCATAAATCACTTATAGTTACTGATATTGTGAAAATATTCAGGGAGTCAGGAAAAATATCTGTCTGTAGTCCACATTTGTCCCCTATTAAATCTTGTGTACCATGACGAGGATAATCAGACCACAGCCACCACAGACTGCTGAGCTACGCCGGTCTTTCGTACTGGGAAAATTAGTAAAAATCAATCAAATCATGGTCGCAAAACTGCACCAATTATTGTTCTAACCCGTAACAATGTGATAAAATTTAACGATTTATTGATTGCAATGTGCAATATGTCTACAACATCAAATGGACTGGTTCAGTTTCTTTTACCTCACATCCAAGAGGCTTCTTCGGTTCAGGCAAAAACTCTAGTTCAGTTTAAATGAAAATGATTCTGGAGAAGAGGTGTATTTTTCTAATTGTCCACTAGATGCCAGCATCGACTTCTAATTGAGGCCACTAATACGTTCTGATATTTCTGAGAGTGTAAGTGATGTGGTTCATACCAAATTAAATAGTGCTTTTAGTCATTGTAATAAAAGTTAAAGGAATGACAATTTTAAAAATACGAATCGAAACTCATGGATGCAACGTTAATACAAAACGTAATAATTTTATACAAAACTTTAATTACGGTTTGTAATAGAAAATATTCAATATGGAATAAACTACAATATCATTTAGCAATATAGGAATTCATTCACTCATAAAAATCGGCATATTATACACATTAATTAGTATTGATATGTGAAATTGTTATAATGTTTATATAATTGTTATAATTACTAATCTAGGTGTCTACAGTAACAGTTGTAGCAATGAACATGTACATGAGAGCCACTTACTACAATTTGTTGAAAAAAAAAAGAAGCCTCATTCTGACCCTCAGGGTCTCCTTTGGCATCTCCTCTTCCTCCATCAGCGATGACTAGATGTCTGCTGCAGCAATTACGGGATCATCAGCTTTGTTTACATACACTATCTCTGACCACTCGTTATATAAACTCTGTAATAACATACACACACCCTGCTGCTTAGCAGGATTCTACAGTGGTATAACAAAGTACTTGTATAATGGGTTCACCCTGCCTAAAGTGTCGCTCAGGTGAACCTATTAGTTAATAGCTATGGTACCTCTCCACATTCACACCTCTAACCTTGCGACTTTACATTCTGCCCTTCTTGGAATAGGGTGTGTTTTCACCACATCTGCAGCCCCCTCACCCTGCTCTTCTCGGTTACAGGTATTCAGCCTTTTTGAGACTAAATACCAGAACTTCCCAGTAGTCAGACTGAACTGAAGAAGCCTCTTGCATTTGAGGTGAAAAAACCCACTTTGTCCAGTTGTCCTGAATATAACTATTTTGGGGAATTATTTAGAGTTTTGTCAATTCAGTATAAAACTATTTACCTTGTTTTCAGGCTTTCATTATTTGCATATTTTCCCTTGTTTTTTTTTCTCATCAGACACACAGGACACATTCCACAACTGTTCTGCAGTTTTGACTTTACAACTCCCTAATACATTCTCAACATTTTAGGTGAGCAGAAAAAAAGCTGAAGACTGAAGCTGAAATTATTCACTAATACAGTGAGTAGTTGTATTTTTGAGGATTAATTTTATTATTGAACAACAACCATGTTCTTAATGAACCCAAAAGACTCATTAATATCAAAGCTGAATATTTTTGGGATTTGGAGTGGGGCTTTTTTAGTTTTAGCTATTTTAGGAGGATATCTGTGTGTGCAGGTGACTACTACTGTGCATAATTTTTAGGCAACTTAACAAAAATCAAATATATACCATCCATCCATCCATTTTCATCCGCTTATCCGTTACCGGGTCGCGGGGGCAGCAGTCTTTATGACCACCACCCAAATCACACTGCACTGTACCACCCCCCTAAACCTTCCTGTGGGTGGTGAGTCCACTGGAAGGTACAGACCGCCCTAACTGGTATTTGAACTTGCCCAGGAGGTGAACCCTGGGGTTCCACACCAATGACAGAGACATTGCAAATATATACCCATTTCAATATAACAGCTCAACATTCACAAATATACATTTCTGACATTCAAAAACAAATCGGTGACCAATATAGCCACCTTTCTTTGCAAGGACACTCAAAAGCCTGCCATCCATGGATTCTGTCAGTGTTTTGATCTGTTCACGATCAACATTGCGTGCAGCAGCAACCACAGCCTCCCAGACACTGTTCAGAGAGGTGTACTGTTTTCCCTCCTTGTAAATCTCACATTTGATGAGGGACCACAGGTTCTCTATGGGGTTCAGATCAGGTGAACAAGGAGGCCATGTCATTAGTTTTTCTTCTTTTAGGCCCTTTCTTGCCAGCCACGCTGTGGAGTACTTGGATATGTGTGATGGAGCAATGTCCTGCATGAAAATCATGTTTTTCTTGAAGGATGCAGACTTCTTCCTGTACCACTGCTTGAAGAAGGTGTCTTCCAGAAACTGGCAGTAGGACTGGGAGTTGAGCTTGACTCCATTCTCAACCCAAAAGGCCCCACAAGCTCATCTTTGATGATACCAGCCCATACCAGTACCCCACCTCCACCTTGCTGGCGTCTGAGTGGGACTGGAGCTCTCTGCCCTTTACCGATCCAGCCACG